TTTTTTTTTTTTTTAAGTCAGGGAACTATTTTAGATTTAAAGAAATAAAGGAGATATGATAACCAACAACAATGTATAAACAGTAATTGGATCCTAGATTTGAAAAAAATAAATCATTAAATTTTGGGGATAATTGGGTAATTTAATTATAAACCATATAATAGAAGATTAGTGTAAGGAGAAGATAATGTTTTCTTTTGTGTCCTGCAGAAGTATCCAATTTGGTTGGCTTAGTCAACCATAACAAACTGGGCTAATGTTTTTCACACTTAGTCTGAAATAGCTATCTGGGTCCTTCCTTGGTTTAACAGCTTATTTGTCTCTCTTAGATAATTTCCATTTTCCTCAAACTACTTACTTTTAACAGCTCACACTGAAGTATATTTATATAAATATTTTCAATTATCATAATATAAGAAATTTTTTTGATTTTAAAATTTCTTCCCTGTGTCCTCCTTTCCTATGCATTCCTGCCCCATGAACTATCTCCCTGTGCCCTTCTCTGGTGGTGTGGGAGCTCTGGTGGCATAGTGCCTAAGGCATTTGACTGCTAACCAGAAGGCTGGTGGTTCAAACCCACCAGCCACTCCTCAGAAGGAAGATTGGGCAATCTACTTCCGTAGTGATACCACCTCAGAAACCCAAGTAGGGGTCGCTTAGAGTCAGATCCGACTCCATGTCAGTAAGAGAGTTCTCCCATGATTGATCATTCTAAGGAGTATGTCTACCTGATTGATGTATATGTTCACCTTACATGTCTATTGTTTGGCTGGAAGTCATGAGAGTTAGTTCAGTTCTAGACTTGAAGGGTAACTAGGAGCCATAGTCTCGGGGGTTTTACCAGGCTCTATCATACCAATAAACCTGGTCTTTTTATGATTTTGAGTTTTGTTCCATCTTGTCTTCCATTCTATCCATGATCTTCTGGACTGACCACTTTCCAAGTGGTTGACAGTGGTAGCTGAGCACCATCTAGTTCTCCTGGTATCATGGTCATGTAGGCTGAAGTTCACATGGTCCACTAGTCCCTTGGACTAATTGTTTCCATGCATCTTTGGTTTGCTTCGTTTTTCTTTGCTCTAGATGAGGAAAGACCCATTGTTGCATAAAGATGGCCGCTTGCAAGCTTTTAAGACCCCAGTTGCTACTCACTAAAGTAGGATGTAGAACAACGTTTTCGTGTAGTATGTTATGCCAATTGATCTGTATGTCCCTGTAACCATTGTCCTGAGCCCAGAGATCCAACAGCTGCTCCATCAGGGTGATTGATTGTGCCTAAGAAATTATCATAACTTTCCCCCCTGTTAGTTCTACTTATATGTGCATTCTTACAGCACATACAATGTAAAAATACATACGTAGGAATATCATCTGGCAACCATATATGTGGGGATTCCTACTCCCCCCCAAAACAAACAAATAAACAAACTGAAATCACAGGGATGAATATCAACTCCTGTCCAATGGAAACAGTTTCTGTTGTATCACGCCGGCCCTATTAGTCCTAGCATATCTCATTTCTCTTCTGATTTTGTCTTGCACTCCTCTTAAGAATTTAATGAAGACTGATTTTTTTTTCTTACGTTTTATTTCAGTGGAATCAGGCAGTTTTGACATTTTGAAGTTTAGCTATGGTTTGTGAAGTGATTACTTACATTAATTCCCAAATGTACCTATTTGTCCCCAGGTTCCACCTAGCACATATGGATGGGAAATTCCTGTGGAAGAAATGACCCCTCTGGATATTGCAAAGAAGTCCTTAGGTACTCAGCTCCATCCTATGGAGGACAGAATGGAATGTGAATCTCCAGAGCAGTATCTACTTCAAGATAATGGTGAGGATAATTTAAACCCTGGGAAGAAGATGAGAATAGGGGAGGAGAAGGATCTAGTCATTGAAGAGTTATCAAACCTCATTCCATTTAAGCTTCTACTGAGAATCAATAGAGTGTAATGTCATTAAAGGAGCAGTCAAGTTGTACTCTGAAGCATATGAGGTCACCTTACTCAGAATCGACTCGACAGCAACGTGTTTGCTTTTTTAATTTAATAATGTCAAAAATAGGTGAGCACAAGCTCATCCATGGGTACTTTGTAACAAAGTTAAGTACTATGAATAAATCAGATGTATCTGAATGTATTATGTCATGTTGGTGTTAGGTGCCGTCGAGTTGGACCTGACTCATATTGACCCCTCCTTGGATTGCAGAGGCAGTATCACTACAGAAGTAGATTGCCCAACCTTCCGAGGAGTGGCTGGTTGGTTTGAACCACCAGCCTTCTGGTTAGCAGTCAAGTGCCTTAGGCACTATGCTACCAGAGCTCCCTGTATTATGTCAAGCTATTGTCATTCTAGTTATATGCCCCATTTCTATTGTCTCTGCTACCAATTTTTGTCATCTAATGGCTGTTTAAGAATTCTACTGAAGAAAATGGAATTTCCGTAGTCTGTGTTCATTAGAGTTCTAAAGTCTGTAAATGATACAGTGTGGTGTAGTGGAGGTGGGCACACAGCTGGCTTGGTTCTGGAGCAGCTTTCTTTTCCAAAGAAGATAACAGTTTTCTTTTCCTCTTATACCCCTAGCAACTCCCTATTCTCTGCTCATCCTAGAACTATTCATGTTGATTCTACAAACTTCTGAAGCTCACATTCTCCTGGTTCTCACTTATCATTCCCTTTATGTCCCTTTCCTTCCCCAAATTCATCCTTGTTTACCTTCCTTTTCTGCTCGTAGTCCTTATTGTTACTTTCCACCACTTCTTTTATCTGTCATTCCTTATTCAAACCCCTTTAACTTATCACTCTCAGAATCATTTTCTGTACACCTCGCTGCTCTGTACTAGGCAACTGAGGGAGTTACATGGATACATGCTGCACTCACCAGGAGTTCACAGTTTCTGGCAAATGAAGGGTAATCCACTGAAAATAGATCAAAACAAGCATTGCACAAATGGATCACTGTGGAAAGAATACTATTTATATTAATGGTCTTTTCAGTTGCATTTTGAGATGACATTTACTGTGAGTATTATCATCTTTAATTATGAAGTTAGTCAACAAGTTTTTATTGAACACCTTTGTATGTAGTAATGTGTTAGATAATGTGAAAGACAGTGGACAATTAAGGAACCCCTGATTCTTTAGAAATTTGCAATCTTGTTGGATCTACATATGAAACAGTAAAAGAAAGTCCTACAGTGCTGATTTGTGTTTTGAATAGATTGTCTACCAGGAAAGGAGAACTCACTGTGAGCTTAAATTAAGTGATAAAGGAAGTTTTATTGGAATAGTTGAGAGTTAAGTGAGGTGAGAACAAACAGTAACAAACCACTAATTTGAGCCTAATTTTAGAAATTGTGAACATTTGAGTTAAATTTACTAGTGCAACATTTGGGATGCAAATAGGTAAGGTAAACAACGTTAACTTGAGAGAGAGTATTTTTCCCGGCAGCCATAAGACTGCCTGGAGGTGATGTGCTAATTCTAAATTGTTTTTATTTATTTTTTTCAAAGCCATTTTCTTAAAATTTGTAAGCCAAGTTTGAATTATTTTTAGTATTTCTATTATTATATCTATTCTAAACATTTATTTTAATACGCTTTATTAAATCAGAAATTTTTCACTAGTTCAGGCCCATATACTACCCCTCCCTGATTAAAATTAGTGATGTG